TTTTTCTGAAAATGAGGAGATAGATTCTGTTGAAGATAAAAAACATTCGCTAATTTGAAATAAACAGAAAGAACTCGCACTTACTAATTTCGTTTGATGCTGACTCCAGCGATGCCATTCTGCCAGACTTTGCGATTTGTGTGTCTTGATTTTTTGCAGAGTTTTTATCGTCTTAACACATACAAAACACTTTTAGTATTTCAAGTGGTTGAAGTACAAAGCGTATGCGTTTGAGATGTGACCTTCGCCGCCATCTCGCAAGTGCAAATTAAAAAAATTACCATTGAATAGTATGACCTTGAATAATGAGGCGTGGGTAAGATTTGTGCAGTATCCTATTGAGGGGAATGATGCAGTAAATGATAAGGACCCACGAAAGATGCCTGACAATGTGAATAAACGAGCGGCATGAACATAAGTCAATATTAAAAGGAAATGAAAACAGCCTTTAACATACCGACCGACACGATACAGTAAATGATAAGGACCCCACGAAAGATGCCTGACATTGTGAATAAAGGAGCGGCATGAACATAAGTCAATATTAAAGGGAAATGAAAAGAGCCTTTAACATATCGACTGACATGATACAGTAAATGATAAGGACCCCACGAAAGATGCCTGACAATGTGAATAAAGTATCGGTTTGAACATGAGTCAAAATTGAAGGGAAATTAAAAAGAAAAATCATGTTGTGAAGATAAGATCCTGCGGTGTGGGCGGTATCATACAGTGGAAAGTGATGCAGTTAATGAATAATGAGACCGCCTCTGGAAAGATATCAAACAATGTACCGAAAAGGGATTACTGATTTGAACAAGCGTGAGTCTTACACTTGAATGTGATTCTATTCAATTCTTCACTCACAGTATGAATGAGACCTATTCTTCTTTAAAGAAAATCATGCGTTGGTAAATGATTATTCATGTGAAGGCCAACACTTTAAAAACGGGGAAAATGTTCCTGTTGCACACCAACTTGAACAGTGCTTCATAAACGTGTTAAATCTGCGTTAGGAGAACAAATAATCTGAACATCATGGCTTCCATTGAGAAATATCCATGTTTCTGTGGTGCAGGCTTCGAGAGAATCGTATCTAAGAAGGACGAACGTGCGTATGTTAAATGTAAAGGTGAAGGATGCACATTGTTCTGCCACGAAGAAAGGTACCATATTATAATGGATGCCTACGAAACGAAAGTCGCGAAAGAATTCAAACCTAACAAGTTCCCCCTGTGCGAATGCGGTTATCCAGGTAGTCTCATGGTCTTCCAATCGAGCAATAATCCTGAAAGGCCATATTTTCGTTGTCAATCTATCGCCGACGGTGAAAAATGTAGCTTCTTCCATTGGGGGAACGTGACTATGAATAGCAAGATCATTAAGAAAAAAAGAAAGGTTGAACTGAATGACCATAAGAGGAAAGAGCCTAAAGAAAAGGAACCTAAAACGGTCGCCGTTAAGAAACAGAAAAAAAGGACCAATCCTTTGCAGGACGATGAATAAACACGAAACGTTAAGCAATAATAATAATAACAATGCATGCACGAACGGATGATCACTGTATCTAAAAAATTCACGCAATAAATTTTTGTAATGTATCGCTGTGAGTGTTTGTTCATTACACGCAATACCTTCCTGAACACCTGAAGATGCTATCTGTTTGTAATTATTCAATTACTCTGTAGGAGTTCAATGAACATATACTATAAAATGAAGCATGATTTCACAAATTGCCATTACTGCATGAAAATCATCGCCAGATGATCATGGGGGGAAAAGAGTATCTAGAGCGTTTACGTGTTCGAGCCATCAGAAAAAATGTAAAGGCAAAACGTTTGCTGAAAAAAGTTCAGAAAGAAATCTCTAAAGATAAAACTGATATTTCAAAAGTGTTAAAATGGGTAAAAAAATCAAAGAAGTTGTTGCAGCAAAGTGTTGACCTTGTGGAAGGAAAAAACAACATAAAAAATCAAACTGAAAATGATGAAAAATCTGTTAACTTTGTGCTTGAAAAGTTTCGGAACGATATGTTCGTAAATTTGGCACCAAATCGTGTATATTCCGTGCTAAGTTAGACGATCTATCCGTTCGAAATAAGCAAATCAAAGTCAAAGACATAATGACTGAGCTCGATGGCTTGTTTGACGACGCTATTCGACAGGTGAGAGTGAAAAAGCGCTGTGTGACACAAAGCATCTTTTTAATTTTTATGTTAATGTCCGCAGGTAAAAGAACAGTGTGATTTTAGAACACCATTGGAAGATCGTCTTCAGGTAATGATTAGATCGAATGCTTTGAAAACACCAATCAGCACTAAGCTTCTTCCTGCCGCTGAAATTAACTCTAACACAATTTTGGGTGAAATTACAAAACTTTGCAGAGTAATGAGAATATTCCTTTGGACAACTCGTTTATCATCGACCTTATTGGTGTAAAAGCACCTGTTGGGAGTGGTAAGGCCTTCAAAGTCTTAGATTATTCTCAAGACAGTACTTTAAAAAAATCGATTGTAACTATCAAGAATAATGATAACCTATGCTGTGCTCGGGCTTTAGTTGTAGCCATAGGGATGGCTGACCACCATCCTAAATTAAAACAAATGAAGATGGGTAGGCCTATACAGAAAAATAGCCTTAAAGTTGCATAAACGTGCCAATATTTTGCCTGGTAAATGTGGATTGAGGGAAATTTCAAAGTTTCAAGGTGTTCTTTCAGACTATCAAATTATTGTAATAGACTTTGATGCACGAAACACTTCAATTTATGAAGGGCCTAGAAGAGTAAAAAAGCTAATGCTATACAAACACGGAGATCATTTCAATGTTATCAATCCGGCAAAGCTCCCAGCTTTTTTCGGTAAACGATTTTACTGTGAACAGTGTTCAAGCTTTGTAAACAACTATATTGATCACCCATGTTTTGATGTCTGCAGCACATGTTTACGCAAAGGATGTGCATTAATTCCGACGGAACAGCGGGAATGCTCGGACTGTTACAAGCTCTGCCGTTCAAATGAATGTTTTCACCTTCATAAAAAACAACGCATGTTAAGAGGACTTCATCTTCCCTCAAAATGTGACAAATCGTACAAATGTCGTACATGCAGTGTCATTGTTGACCAAAATCGGCAAAATAAACACAAGTGTGGAGAGTTCAAATGTCATATCTGTAAGCAGTTTGTTGTCGGCGGTCACTTATGCTTCATTCAACCTGAACTACCAAAAAAGCCAAATGTAAAACTAATTTTTTACGATTTTGAAACGGATTTTACAAGCGGAGAGCATTTTGTGAACTTTGCTGTTTTACAATTCGCTTCGGGCGAAGAACGTGTTTTCAAAGGATATAATGCATTAAATGAATTTTGCGAGTTTTATTTTCAAGAGAACGTAGGCTATACTGCAATTGCGCATAATGCAAAAGGATTTGACGCTGTTATCATTCAAAAATGGCTCACACAATATCGACCGACAGTCGATATGCATGTCATTCATTCAGGTCAGAGAGTAATGCAATTATATTTAAAGGTTTATCAGATGACGCTAATCAACTCGTGAAACTTCCTAAGTATGCCTCTTTCCAATTTGCCTCGAGCTTTGGATTTGTCGATGTATTCGAAAGGCGATTTCCTTTTAAATTTAACACGCGAGAAAATCACAAATACGTTGGACCTATTCCGGCTCTTGAATATTATAGCCCCGACACAAAGCCAAAATGTAAAAGAGATGAGCTAATTGCATGGCATCAGAATTTAATTGTGAGGGATACGTTTTCGACTTTCAAAAGAAATGTACAAATACTGTTCTCAAGATGTAACTATTTTGCGTTTGTTTTGCATGGAATTCAGAAAGTTGTTTTTGGCCGAAACACGTGTAGACCCATTTTGTTATTGTACAATTGCGTCTTCGGTCATGGCAGTGTTTCGTTCAAACTATTTAAAAGAAAAAACCATTGGCATTGTACCTAAGAATATGTATCGTGATAGCAATAAACCGTATTCAAACAGTGCCATTGAGCTGGAGTCTGTTTCCTTTCAAACAGAAAGCAATATCAAACAAAAGCAATATCAAACACGCTCTTCATCATGGGGAAGTTATTTATGATCTGTTGTTAAATAAACATCATTATGTCGACGGATTTTATGAAGACACAAACACCGTGTATGAGTTCTACGGAAAAGTTTATCACGGCTGCCCTTTATGCCTAGATTTGAAGAGTGACAATTCTTACCGTACAGGTACAACGCTAAGAGAAGCATATAACCGAACCATTGAGCGTGAAAAAAGATTAACGGAGTTAGGATATAAAGTAAAAACCATATGGGAGCATGATTTCAAGCAACTCAGACAAACTCCTCAAATGCAGCATTTTTTAAACACACATGAAATTATAACAGACCTTTACCCTGCCGATAGCTTTTTTGGAGGAAGAGTTGAGGATTTTAAACTGTTTCGTAGGGCCGAAGAAAATGAGAAAATCTTTTATAACGATTTTACAAGTCTTTATCCATTCGTTATGAAAAATCGCCGTTATCCTATAGGTCACCCTACAATTATTCGCAAAAATTTTGAAGATCTTTCAAATTACTTCGGTTTCATTAAGTGCCGCGTTTTGGCACCGGCAGGCTGTATCATCCCGTGCTCCCGATGAAAGTTAATGGTAAATTAATGTTTCCAATGTGTAAGCGGTGTGCTATGAATGCCTCTGCAGAATGCCATCATTCCGAAAACCAGCGTTCATTTTGTGCGACTTTTACGACCATTGAAATGAACACGGCAATCGAAAAAGGCTACAAAATTTTGAAGGTGCATGAAATTTGGCATTTTGAAGAAACATCGGACAGTTTATTTAGTGAATATGTCAATTTCTTTTTGCGATTGAAACAAGAAGCTTCGGGCTTTCAGGATTGGGTAAACTCAGACGCAGACCAGGCAAAATATATCGACGACTATCTAAAGCACGAGGGAATTCTATTGCGTAAGGAAAAATTGTGAAAATCTATGGTTAAGAGCGTCAGCAAAACTTTGTTTAAACTCGCTGTGGGGTAAATTTGCACAACGTAATGATATGTTAATTACGGAGTTTATTCATGATCCGCTTGTATTTTACAAACGACTAAATAGTGCAGACACTGAAATTCACGACATGATTGTCATGGTTGTAATAGTCATGGTCATGATGGTCATGGTCATGATGGTCATGGTCATGGTGGTCATGGTCATGGTAGTCATGATCATGATGGTCATGGTCATGATGGTCATGGTCATGGTAGTCATGGTCATGATGGTCATGGTCATGATGGTCATGATCATGATGGTCATGGTCATGGTAGTCATGGTCATGGTGGTCATGGTCATGGTCATGGTCATGGTAGTCATTGTCATGATAGTCATGTTCCTCATCCTTCTCCACGCTCAAATTATCAGTAATTTGTGGTTATTGAACAAATGCAAGCTTGCCTCAACATGTACTGTTTTTATTAAAATGTTATGTTTAGATATTTTACTAAGTTTTGAAATTTGTTAATTGAAGTATTATATACAATTTCAGCCAAACCTGTATTGTTAAATACAGTTTTGAACGTAATTGTATATACATGGTGTCATACTGTCTTGGTGTGAATCCGTGTGATGAATATGTTAACTCGGAATGCAAACTCTACTCAAACTCTCAAACTCTCTTGAAATCATGCTCCCATATGGTTTTTACTTTTATACCACTTTTTGTGACCATTTGTGTATGGGATTCCATCGTTGATTTTCGTAAGTCGAAATCTGAACGCGTACAGGAATATCACATTTGTTTACGTACAAGTAAACATTCTGATCACCTCAACAGCAAATGCACATGGCTTTACGGCTGATATTGTTTTTATGATAACCGTATCATCTGATCGAGCTTGCAATTTATTGTCCTCCAGGGATAAGGTGTACGATATACCGTTTGCATCGGCAAACCAAATAACCCCTTTGCTGTTCATAACTCGATAAAATCGAACTTTCAAATTCGATTTGTTTCGGAACTCGGAAACGCACAGTCAGAACTTTTCAGTAATCCGTTACATAAGGGCACAATGCATAATGGGAAGAGAGTACTTCCTGTTTTAACTTCCTGTGCGTCCTCTCATCAGTACCTCCCTCTTGTTTGAGGGTTCATTTCATCAATCCCAGACCTCAGTGTCACGTGTGGTCCATTACATGCCATAAACCGTTTACCACGTGGTTAAATGAATTGTAACAAATTAGTTGCAAAATGACAAACAACAAATTACTAACATTGGTGTTTGTTTTTAATGGTGGAAAAATTTTGTTGGGAATGAAGAAGCGAGGATTTGGAGCTGGAAGATGGAATGGATTTGGTGGCAAAGTAGATAGCACAGAAACAATTGAGGCAGGAGCAAAAAGGTGGGTTGCAAGTTTGTACTTTTTGAACTCTGGCAGGTAATTTACACAAGGGCAAATCTGTAATTTTAGAGAGTTAAAAGAAGAATGCAATCTAACCACAAGAGACCTAAAACATGTTGGAATATTAAAGTTTGAGTTTGTTAATGAGCCACAAATCATGGAAGTTCATATTTTACAACCAAGGTTTACGAAGGGAAGTGCAAGAATCAGAAGGTGGACAAGTTAAAATCAATGGCATAGCCAGTTTGCACATTTTAGTCCAATTTTGTAAATTTCAGCACATTATTGTTTTTCATACCTGTAGAAATTCATTGTTTTTACAGTGTGTGAGCGAAGAAAAATGTAGATCAAGGCACTAAATTGCAGGCTGGCTATGCACTGCTTAAAATTAATTCAGAATAAATATAAAGCTTTTTCATAAATTAATTTTATGGATTTTTCCTCCAACAGAAATGAGACCTAAGTGGTTTAACATGGATGAAATTCCTTTCAATGAAATGTGGCCCGATGACAAATTGTGGTTTCCATTGATGCTAAGCAACAACATGTTCAAAGGTTATTTTAAGTTTGAAGGTCATGACAAGATACTACACTACACTCTTACTGACCAAATCATGGACTGATTTTATGTGTAATTTATATTGTATAGCCACAATACTTAAAGCAAATGCATACTCTAAAGTGCAAGCTTTGGATAGAGTCATTTACTTCATGACAGCAAATTTTAAAAGTAAATAGTTCCTATGGAAATGTTTGATAAATAACTATTGAAAACAAGCCTTCACACATCCCAGTCAGCAGTACCTGTGAGTTCCTAAATGGTATTTTCATGAAATACAGATTATAATATAGTCTGTATTTTGTTTCAATAAACCTATATTCTAAATCTACTCATATACTTAAAATTTTCTGCCATACAAAAATAGTTCGTGCAAGTTATTTCATACAAAATTTTTTGGCTGTACTGCATGCACCCAGGTGCTTTTCCAGCCCTGCTAAAGAGTATGATTGATAAACCGTCCAAGTGTTCCAGTAAACATCATCATCATGTTTTGATAAATTGTTTGATTCACTAAACTTCATTAAGTGTGACAGGTGAAACAGATGGTTGTATTGTTGTCATGTTTTGATGAAACCCAGATACACAGCCACGTGCAGTGATTAATCTACCACAAGCTTGACACTATATGAAATAATGAAGGAATGTTTGACATTGCAAATGGAAGCACATATACAGGCAGTCAAAAAGAACTGCTTGATAGCAAAAATACTTTATTAGGGAAACACAGAGACCGTGGAGCCAGAGGATGGGGGTGGGTGGAGGCCATGGACCCTTTACCTCTTCCACAGAAAAGTAGCTCATAGAGTAAAATTTAGCATCGTAGGTAGAGACTATGCTTTGTGCTATTCTGACCAATGGCTTGCAGATTTGGTCTGACTAACTTAATTTTTCTGTGTTCAATCACTACAAAAACAACAGATTTCTGTGGAAATGTAAAAGATAATGCTATAAAATGTAAATAGCTGGGAAAAACTTGCAGGCTGGTTTTGAACAAGTTTTGTGGTCCCCGTGACATTGAGACAAAGAAAATAAAATTATCTTTAATAACTACTGGAGCCTCCACTTGCTTTGCATTGCTTTCCATCATGTTAAGCAATCCTTGGCATGGATGATAAACATAACTTTCCAACTTGACTAGACAAAGCCTGAGCAGTTCTTTTTCACTGCCTGTGTATATTTCCATTTCAGAGAATTTTATCCATGTAGAAAGGAAGTACTCACCATACCCTAGTCAATGTAAGTAAAAGTGTACATAAGTAAGAAGAGAATAAAATAGACATTAAAAATTACACATGAACTTGACAAGCTTACCCCCTGTCCAAGAAGAACAAAGGATATAAAAAAGAAAAGTTATTAGAATTGAGGAATATGTGAATTTAACTCATCAATGTTTTGTTAAAGAGAACTTGAGTGTACTCACAAATACATCAGCAATCTAAAAATGAAAATTAGTTTGCATATAATTAATTTATTTGAAAATATTAACATTTTAGCAAGTAAATTTTAGCATCATTCCTTACAAGGAATAGAGATGTCAACTGTGTTTTTACTGTATGTCGTATGAATTTAGATTTAGAATTACATCCCTTCATATCTCCAGTTGCCCCCATTTCATAATCCTACATACACCCTTGAGTTTGATCATTGTAACTTTTGATTGGCAAGCAATGCTTATTCGTCTATCTGTTTTAACCATCTGTTTTAACAATGATTGAACTGAAAATATTAACATTGCATGACCAAATTGTGGGCTGGCAGCACCACGGACCATCAGTGATAGCTAGTTAGAAAATAAACACAATGAAACGCGTGCGCTGATTGGTCTAGAGCTGAGTTTGCATTAGCCTGTGCAAAGCACATCTAAGCTCAACCAATCAAATCGATTAAAACAATCAATCAGTCAAAGAGAATTTGCAAATCGATCATGAATACATTTCAGAGGAAAATTGAAATGTTTGTCTTTTTTTTGCATTATTGTTATTTTATAGAAGAAACAAAAGATGTTTGCAAAGGCTGATGCAAACACTGCTCTAGACCAATCACCGTAAGCGTTTTATTCTTTTTGTTTTATAATTCTTAATTATTGATTGGACAATAATATGTATTTGTTAGAGTAAAGTAAACTACTAACCGGCTATTGATCCCAGAAGATGATTCATTGAACATAGAAAAAAATAAAAGGCAGTATAGTTTTGGCAACTAAATTGTCAAGTAAAATATAACGTTTAACTGACCCCGACATGCCAAGAACACGACCTCTCGTTGTTTGCTTTCTCTGCATACATTTTTCCACAACGACAACACGTTTGAATTGATTTCATGTGTAATCCTTGTGAACTTTGAGAAGATCTTTCTATTTTTCGGATGCAAGCTTGAATTGGGTTTAAAAGTGCGTAGTGAACGATTGACCGTAGGGTCTTTTGATTGTTTTGAATTCAACATTTGTCTTCGTTCAATGTCCAGTGCAAAAGATTGTTGCCGCAAATTTATGCGATGATCTCGAGTCGCTCGAACCATTTCTCTTCGTTTTTGTACGACGCGGTGGAGATTCTGTTTAGAATCGCATCTTTGAACCAACTCATGTTGTCTTAAATCAATGAAAGTCAGTTGAGCGCCACAACTACAGGTTGACGAACGAAACGCGCATGTTGTTAAGTGCTCCGTGAAGTCTGAACGACGTACTTTTTTTGTACAGCCAGCATTCGTACAAGATACCATGGAAAATGGACATTCCTTTACGAGATGATGGTTATAAGATTCATAAGTGACAATTTCACCGCAGCCTTTTGGGCAGCTTATTCGTAGCCTGGCCAATTTTTTAGCCATTCTCTTTTAAAGGTTCTGAAGAAACTTTGAGGTCCTTTAGGCAAACGGAACACCCCAAATAATGAGTCTTTCGGCTCTTGAAACAATCCCAGCAAAGGACATGTTTACACGTACAAAGAACCGGATCAACAAAAACACCGTGACAATGAGAGCAAATAAACTGTTCATCGATGTCTTTATCTTCAAAATATTTGACATTGATCCCCATCAATAACTTCCATAGGATCAACTTTGTGAAAGTTTATGAAGGTGATATATGGCAATTCAGGCGCAATTGAGCACTCAATATTTTCCTTTTATTACTCCTATCGTCATAGCTTGACAACGTTGTCCGTTGTCAAGGTACATATGAGTGCTCTGTCCCGGATGAAACACGCTTTGCCGCGCGTGATATGCAAATGAAGATATCATTGCGACTACTGTCAGAAATCTTTTAGGAAAACACGAAGTTGTTTGATACTCTTAAAATGTTAAACATTTTTATTCTATGCGTTTCAACAAGTATTGCATGTCAAAGAAGACATGAGATATACTGCCTTTCAAAATTATCGGAAAGCCTTCACCTATAATGACAAGTAATAATACTTGTTGCAGTGACGTAACGCAATTTCTGGGCCCTACCTTTTCAGCCATTAGTGGCTACTTTTCTCCACAAAAAATAAGCTGAATGACAGTATTTACTGATTCATTGCATCCGAAACTGATGAGTTGTGTTTACATTAACGTTCATCAAAATATTTAATAAGAGAAAAATCTCGAAATTTGTTGAGAGTGGGCCTCTATAGTTCCTTGTAACAAAAATATTTATTTTATTGACAATATACTGAAATTGCAAAGTTGTAACACAATATTATCAATAGGATGACTATCGTTTACATCCCTAGTTGGTAATTAGATTTCCAAAATTGTGTTTAAGTTATTAAATAATTTGTTATGGTAATTTTGTACCGGGGTGCGGAGGGGGTAAAACACGGGGCAGTCACTGGGCAACCTGATACCCCGGTAAGCCACTGACTTGTTGAAACGGATACAGCGTGTACAAAAAAGACCTAGAATAAATTTCAATGCCCCACCACAATGTTAAGCCCATGGATGCTGGTTTCAGCCATTTGCACACACTTCATATCTTTGTTTCAAGCGCTAAAGCTATTTCTGGGAATTCAACATACTTTCTAACAGCAAAACTCGTGCAATATGCGCCCGTGGGTTGGCAGAGTGATCAGGCAATGACTTTTGATAATTTGCCGATTTCTAAAAGATTATCTTTTTTTATGTATCTTGTTCAGTGGCGGATAACTAGTTACGAGCCTGTAGGCTAAGACAAAATAGCAGGCCTTTAGGTGATATCTATCCCCGAGAAGGTCAGTCTCTTGAAGACGTTTGCGTTTCTCACGCTCTTTGGCTTTTGCCTTTCCCGGCTTCTGTTTGTAAGTGTAAACAATAGGAAATCAATAAGGACTCAACTTCATGAGTTCAGTGGACCGTGCAGTTTCTAAAAGGATATATCATCGAATTTTAGAATATTTAGCAAGTCCGGAATGGCAAAGAGTAAAACTATGTCTAAATACAACAGGCCTCTCGAAAACGCGAGCTTGTAGGCTTCAGGCTATTTAGCCTACTGAGCAATCCGCCTCTGACCTAGTTGAATAAAATGTTCACCATTTACGGAGTGTTTATTGCTTTTTAGTTTATTGAAAGATATCGTTGATGAATTTTCAGGTGCGGAGGACCAAGAAAACTAGCAATTTATGACAAGCTTTAATTATATATATATATATATATATAATTATATAAATAAAATTGCTGAGGCCTTTGATGAAAAATCATCTCATATGTCAGTTGTAGTTCATTTCGCCTTTCCCATGTTGTTTAGTGCACTGCCAGCTTTGAACCACTGGATCTGAGTGTCGTTAAAAGTGTGATTCAGTAGAAATTGTTCTTTGCTCCCGTCCTCGTGTGTTACTTCACATGTTAAAGGCTAGAAAGAAAAAGTGTGATTCAGTAGAAATTGTTCTTTGCTCCCGTCCTCGTGTGTTATTTCACATGTTAAAGGCTAGAAAGGTAAAAGTGTGATTCAGTAGAAATTGTTCTTTGCTCCCGTCCTCGTGTGTTATTTCACATGTTAAAGGCTAGAAAGAAAAAGTGTGATTCAGTAGAAATTGTTCTTTGTCTCCGTCCTCGTGTGTTATTTCACATGTTAAAGGCTAGAAAGAAAAAAGTGTGATTCAGTAGAAATTGTTCTTTGCTCCCGTCCTCGTGTGTTATTTCACATGTTAAAGGCTAGAAAGAAAAAAGTGTGATTCAGTAGAAATTGTTCTTTGCTCCCGTTCTCGTGTGTTATTTCACATGTTAAAGGCTAGAAAGAAAAAAGTGTGATTCAGTAGAAATTGTTCTTTGCTCCCGTTCTCGTGTGTTACTTCACATGTTAAAGGCTAGAAAGGTAAAAGTGTGATTCAGTAGAAATTGTTCTTTGCTCCCGTCCTCGTGTGTTATTTCACATGTTAAAGGCTAGAAAGAAAAAGTGTGATTCAGTAGAAATTGTTCTTTGCTCCCGTCCTCGTGTGTTATTTCACATGTTAAAGGCTAGAAAGAAAAAGTGTGATTCAGTAGAAATTGTTCTTTGCTCCCGTCCTCGTGTGTTATTTCACATGTTAAAGGCTAGAAAGAAAAAAGTGTGATTCAGTAGGAATTGTTCTTTGCTCCCGTTCTCGTGTGTTATTTCACATGTTAAAGGCTAGAAAGAAAAAGTGTGATTCAGTAGAAATTGTTCTTTGCTCCCGTCCTCGTGTGTTATTTCACATGTTAAAGGCTAGAAAGAAAAAGTGTGATTCAGTAGAAATTGTTCTTTGCTCCCGTCCTCGTGTGTTATTTCACATGTTAAAGGCTAGAAAGAAAAAGTGTGATTCAGTAGGAATTGTTCTTTGCTCCCGTCCTCGTGTGTTATTTCACATGTTAAAGGCTAGAAAGAAAAAAGTGTGATTCAGTAGAAATTGTTCTTTGCTCCCGTCCTCGTGTGTTATTTCACATGTTAAAGGCTAGAAAGGTAAAAAAGAAGAAGGCGGCGATCCATTAACAATCATTGGATGAAGTTGGGCATGATATCAAGAATTATTCATACTAAAACTACGTCATCTACAGAAAATTTCCCATGTTTTGTAGGTGGCAAGACATTGAGAATTATCTGCAGGCTGTCAGCCAATCACAATCAAGACTTCACCATCATTGTATGATAATAACAATTATCACCAATCTGTCATTTATTGTTTTAACATTGTACCTTCGCTATGGTTTTAATATTGTACCTTCGCTATGGTTTTAGTATTGTACCTTCACTATGGTTTTAGTATTGTACCTTCGCTATGGTTTTAGTTGAAGGTAGTGCAGAAATTTTTTGTTAATAGTTACGTTAAATGATTGGTTGCTAATGAAGTGGGCGGATTGCACAATAGTGTCTTTTGATACAGTATGTGGATCATAGTGTGATAATAAACCTTTTAGCAAGTTTAGTACAGTTTTCAAAAGGCACTATCTATGAAATAATGTTGGAAAACTTACATAAATATCTCTTTGACCACTTACCTTTCCGGGTGCAAAATCTTTAAGGCCAAGAATTGATATACGGTCTGTTGGCTTGATTTTATCATAATCGGCTGGGTTATTAAATGTCAAAGGCAACATTCCTAGAAAGAGAAGTTGTATCAATTGACACTGGTCTACATTTATAACAAATAATTCAACAAACGTTAGCAAAACTGACCTTGTTTTTTAAGATTTGTCTCTATAAACAACATAAAAGATCATTGTAAGAAGTGCAAGTAATATATTAACCATAAAAAATAAACACAATAAAACGCGTGCGGTGATTGGTCTAGAGCTGTGTTTGCATTAGCCAGTGCAGAACACATCTGAGCTCAACCAATCAAATCAATCAAAACAATCAATTAGTCAAAGAGAATTTTCAAATCGATCATGAATACATTTTAGAGGAAAAATTAAAATTTTGTTTTTTTCGCATTTTGTTATTTTATAAAAGAAATAAAAAATGTTTTCCGTGTTTTTCCCTATCTCGAGTTCTCCCAAAGGTCTCTTCAGTTTGCATAAGCCCGCGCAAACACAGGAAACATCTTTTATTTCTCAATGACACCGTTATCGATAACGGCGTATCGATAACGGCGTATCGGCTCTAAAAATAAAATTATTAGTAACGGTATTTTTTCTTGTTCATAATACCGATATTTAGACATTTCATTGAAATAGAAATACATTTGAAATGAATCATAGTTTAACATTACTAAATATATCACCTCAACAATTTCTGTTAAATTAATACTACTTAAAATTTGTTAGTTCCACAAAACATAGACATTGTGTTGTGAAATATGGCTGCAGTGTAAATGTCCACTTTGAATTTTATATTTTTTTTTTATCAAATGAACAGTCACTGGTGAGTACAATTTGGCATACTTTATGATGTTCAAGTTTCGTAAAATGGCGTAAAATAACGTTATCGGCACAATGTCGGCGTTTTAAAATCGGTATATCGGTAAAATCTTACATCGGTGCAACACTATCAACAAAACATTGCTGCCCACGTTTCATATAAAGTGCATATAAAAAAATTCATGTAAAGTATGGGCTTGGTAGCTCAACAGGTAAAGCGGCCGACTAGTATCACGAAGGTGCGAGTTCAAATCTCGTCCAAGTCACATGCTTTTCATGAGCATATTAAAACCGTGTTAGGATTTATATTATGTATATAAAGTGCATATGGAGCAAAAATTTCGCTGTTTTAAGTCTTTTAAAACAGAACTTTTAAAATGATAATGGCTTTCCAAACCAGTTTATGCGTGTTTCTTTTCATAATCAAAATATTGAGGTTTTTGTAGTGTTCAATTTATGCAACCCGTGACGTCACATTGCATAATGGAACATGAATTATCAGATATATTTGCTGATGCGTTACTTCAACATGGCAGAGTTCAATTCATTGTGAAGAATTAATTGTACAAAATCTTGTCTAACAGTTTCCACCTAAAGTTATCAGGATACTGACGAATATTATGCAAAATGACGTAACAAGTTAGGTAAATTGGACCAGCTGATTGGACAAAGCAAAAACTTTTAAACCTCGATGATGAAAAGACATATGTATAAACTGCTTTGGAAAATAAAATCTCATTCTCAATGAAAATGTAATTTAAGTAGCAAAATTTCGTGTCCTAGGCACATCAAGGCCAATCAGAATAATTCAAACGAGTTCAATACTTTCATAAAATCCAATAAAACTAAAGAATTAATCTGAATGAGAAATTCATATGATTTTTAGATCGAAAACTAGTACATTGACGTATTTAGGACATTTCGCTACACCAAAAGATATTTCAGTATCCCAAAGGATATCTTATTGACGTGTTTAGGACATTTCGCTACACCATAGGATATTTCAGTATCCCTTCTATGAGTTCCACTGACAAGACTCACGACGCTAGAGACCCGACTCGATAACGTTTGTTACCAACTCACCGTGTATCCTTGCAAAGCTTTTGACGATTACAGCTCTACCACCAAGATGTCTGGGTTCAAGAGCAGCATGTTCACGACTGCTGCCTTCACCGTAGTTCTCATCACCAACAACCACCCAGTTAACACCGTTGGCCTGAATAATAAATATTGATGAAGACTGTAGACTGGAGTATATAAGAACTCAAGTTTCAACATCAGATCACTCCTCATGAAGACACTAGACTGAAGTATATAAGAACTAAAGTTTCAACATCAGATCACTCCTGATGAAGACACTAGACTGGAGTATATAAGAACTAAAGTTTCAACATCAGATCACTCCTGATAAAGACACTAGACTGGAGTACATAAGAACTCAAGTTTCAACATCAGATCACTCCTGATAAAGACACTAGACTGAAGTATATAAGAACTAAAGTTTCAACATCAGATCACTCCTGATGAAGAGACTAGACTGGAGTACATAAGAACTCAAGTTTCAACATCAGATCACTCCTCACGAAGACACAAGACTGAAGTATATAAGAACTAAAGTTTCAACATCAGATCACTCCTGATGAAGACACTAGACTGGAGTATATAAGAACTAAAGTTTCAACATCAGATCACTCCTGATAAAGACACTAGACTGGAGTACATAAGAACTCAAGTTTCAACATCAGATCACTCCTGATAAAGACACTAGACTGAAGTATATAAGAACTAAAGTTTCAACATCAGATCACTCCTGATGAAGAGACTAGACTGGAGTACATAAGAACTCAAGTTTCAACATCAGATCACTCCTGATGAAGACACTAGACTGGAATATAAAAGAACTCAAGTTTCTCAACGCCAGATCACTCCTCATGAAGACACTAGACTGAAGTATATAAGAACTCAAGTCTGCATTATACACATTAACACCACAAAAGGAAAGATGTTTTTTCTTTAAAAAATATTCACCTTATAATATCTGGCAGTGTCAGGTACGGCACCATATTCTCCGTTTAGTTGATTCCGAACTTTATTAGCTTCGCCATTTTCCTCATTCACTGCCCTGGATAGAAACAGTAAATTATTTAATTTAAAGAAGTTTTACAAGTGACGCAGGGAGGAGGTGAAACATATATAACTCACGCAATGAACATGTTGTTGGAGATATTATCCAAGTGTCCACGATATTTTAACCACGGACCAGCGGCACTAAAAAAGGCAAACGTTTACTAAATTTGCCACAATAAATGCCAGACGCTATGCTTACTATTGTCAACTTGAAACCTCAAAAACACTGCTCAAAGTTGTTGAACGCCATAATGTGGCCAGCACAATATCGTTCTAACCATTGAACTAGATATAACTGTATAGCTACCCGACAAAATTTGAAGCCAGCAATATAACTAGCCCCAATTTCTCCACGCACGGCCCAAAGAAAGTTTTTTTTCACGACAGAAAGCTAAAATGCGTGTATAGGCATGGATTCATGCAAGTATAGACATGTTTACTATAGCCAATTCCAGTTATGTATATAGTTCAATGGTTATAACAAGTTAGATTGCAGGCTCACTGTATTCAGCGGTACACCTGATGTGATCTGTTGTGCATTTACCAGTGATCTAATAAAGAAAAAACAATTTGTTTGAAAAGAGACAAGCTTTCACTCTTTAGAATATTTAATTATATTACTAATTAATTAGAACACATTCGAATAAAATTATAACTGTATAAACTTTTTAAATTATGTTGATAATTAAAATTAAATGTAAATAAGCCTCTAAATAAAATGATAATTTAACGCAAATGAAAAAAATCATTGGCAAAATTATTTCTACATTGGTAATGAAGCTGCAAAGTGGAAACGGGCTGTACGAGTTTGTGAAATCATAAAACGACAGTTAAAAATAAGCGAGAAAATAAAATCTATGATAGCACCTTTATTAGAATTGGCAGACCAACAAGATCTTCGCCATTCCAGGCGTCAAATGGCTGTAGAAGTTGTAAACGGTTACTAAAAGAAATTAAAATAGCATTTACTTTGATGGTCGCCATTGGGAATATGAAAACATAGGTTTGTGGTAGTAGAAAATAAGTCTTTGGTAAAATGAGTTAAATAAAATTTCAATTGTATAACAGCTGTGCAAGAAAACCGTAAACTCATGTTTTCAGATGACATAAATCGGTCCCAATATGTTTTAATTCTTTCTTCTGCTCATTCTGGCAAATGCAATTTTTTCTTTTTAACGACAAGCACTACAGTCGATGTTAATGAAAAAACATTTTGTTGGCCTCAACTGCAACGAATTACGACAAATAGATTAAAGATCACGTGACGACAAATTATCTCTCCATTGAAAAAACAACCTTTTGACAAACAACAACAAATGGACAATGACAAACTATGTCGACATGAAAACCAGCCTTTATAGCGACAGCATGTTGTGTTTGGACTTCACAAAAAAAAACTGCCAAAGCGAAAAAGTTTTTTACAATCTGTATCATAATTTCTGAGCGGCAACAAATTTAAAAAACATTTAATAAAAACGACGATTTTTTTTAAGAGCAAACATGTTTCGATATTAACAAAATGCCATCTTCAGTACAAAATGATAGTGATATGAAATATGATACAGTATAGGGAGATCATCGACAACGATCAATCAACTTTCTCTCTCAAAATAAAAAAGAAGCTCTTCACATCAATAAAACTAATCCTGATCTAAATGTTCAAATTCACCATTACAACAGTATCTTTACTTTATAAAGGTCTAATTTCATTTATCGCCATTTTTAATGTGCATACTTACTTATTTATGTACATTTTTTTGTTTTAAACTTACTTTAAATAGATTACACTTCCATTCAATGTAAATAATTTATTCATACCTTCCTATAATGTATCATATTTCATATCACTATCATTTCGCACGGAAGATGGCATATTGTAATGTCGAAACATGTTTGCTTTTAAAAAAATCGTACTTTATATTAAATGTTTTTTAAATCTGTATCAATTTGCCACTAAATTGATGTATTCGAGATTCGCTTTTGTTTTACGTTATCTAAACAAACCTGCTCGGATCGACATTGACTTTTACCGCTGAGGAGTCGGACGGAGGATGTTGGTATGTATCTTCACCAGGATCAAATCCCTTTATTTTAGAAGAAAGTAAGGAACATAAAGGATCACAAATGAACAGCAAGCGTCAATGTTCTCACAATATCAAAGGTGAGCCGAAGCAAAACGTTACAAACACATGTACAGTATTAAAATAGTTAAAAATATGGCTCTAGGATTGATTAGTGGAAAAGTTTTGTCAACTTCCGGTCGACGTCCACGTCATCAAAAAACGTCACTTTCTAATTTACATTACCACATACACGAGTTGGTAGCTCATGACCGTTGGGATCGTCAAGTTTAAATTTTTCGCCTAAAATAAAAGTCTAAAGTTAGGCTTTCGAATAGGCTCACGACCAAAGGGTAGAGGGGGTGGGTTAAGGATTGAATTATCCCATTCTATACATACATCTCGAGCTCACATTCTTGAAATTATCAACGTACCGTTGGCTCCCTCCAGATAGTCTGATAGAGGATTGAACTTTAGGCTACCACCAAGAGCAAGGGCTGTAACAATCTAACACAAACAACAAAATATACACGTGAAAAACTGCTCCACTCAGTAGCAAAAATAGAAAATACGTGCAAAGAAAGAGAGGAGCTTGGGAACTAGTCTGGTCATATTCAAACAATTCTTTAAGTACAGCACGTTTCGACCAATGATTTAGAACCCAGTCTTCTAGATGTCTAACTACCGTGTCAAGCTGAGGCAAGGACGCCATCTTGAAAGGTGACAAAAGCAAAACTCAAAATAAATAGTAAATTAAAACAAAGTTTAAAAAACCTATCCTATCAAACATTTTAAGAATCAAACCTAGACTACGAACTTTGCTACTCTATATCAACACAGGAAAAGCAGATGTTAGTCGTAAATATCGTCAGTTTTTCCACCTTTCAAGATGGCGGCTTGCCTCACTCGTAACTATACAAATTCGGCGGAGTCAGATAACCAGTAGATTGGGTTCTAGATCATTGGTTTCGACACGCTTGGCTACATCACTTTTGAGGAATGTTATTTTCGTTTACAATCAAGTAAAACCAATGACGTCACACCCCAAATTCTAAAAATCGCGAGTGCTTAGAAATGAAATGAGTAACGACGATTCTTTATTATATGACACGTACTAACGAATAAAATATTTATTTCAATGACTTCATCAACACCGTTCCCCATTGCTCGTTCTCAAGTTGATAAATTACACGTACCAAAACTTACAGTTAACAACGTTTCTATGGAGATTTATTCATCTGGGGAGGGAAGGGGAGGGGGTGTTTGCAGATGGAAAAACAAAACCTTTACTTCCTTGGTCGCTACAAATATTAGTCAAAGCCCCCTGATGTGACGAAAACATTTACAAGGTAGATGTGATCAGTTTAGGTGTTAAAGTTCTACCTACGGACTTGGTTGAAAGGTAATAGTTTGGCAATAAAGTAAGCTTGTACACAGTTGTACCCTGTTGTACCTCTGGAGAAGCGACGAACGCATGTGTTGCAGGATTCGCATCGTTTCTTCCAGTGAAATTTCGATTGTACGACGTAACTATGGTATTCTTTTCGCCTTTTTTGATATCCTGTCTAAAAAATCATGCAATCCGTCCAAATTTGCACATAGTAGAAAATGAAAAGCATTAAAATACAATATATACACTTGCTGTGATTGGATGGTTTAAGAGTTTAGAAAAGCGTGTAAAGCAGAATTTAAAGACGAGTTATTTTGTGTCGCTCTCATAACTCTCAAAAAATTCCCATGAGTTTGATAGCCATAGCTCGTCTCAGGCTGAACTTCCTTACTTAATAACGGTAAGTTCAGTCTGCTGATATTTAAGCTTAATCGTGTATAGCGGCGTAGACTATTCACAACGGTCACTTTGAATGAATGATAGGCATTCAAAATTATCTATGATAATTATTCAATTAATGTTGATGTGCATAATGGCGGAGCCAAATACTTCGATTCTATTTGGAATTGGTTTGTATTTTAAGTTTTTTTGAGGAGAAATTATGATCAAAATACTCGTGCTTTTGTTCGTTGTTTAACTATGTCCTTAATCAAAGGCACTACTTGAAAAATCAGAGACTTTCCAAGCGAAGTACGTAAGCGTGTTGGCCATTGAAGTATGCATTTAGCGCCTTAATTTGTTCGGGACAAAATTCTTAATCTGAAAGAACACATTGCGCAAAGCGGACACCCAGAAACGATCTGGAACAAAAATCGCAGTGAAGAAACACCATTTTCATTTTGTTTACCAAGAAATAATTTGGAAATTTAATGCTTGGAAATCAGAAAATTTTTATTGATTATCCAATTATAAGTAGCATCTTATTTGCGAATAGCCTAAGTCACGGTACATGATTAAGTTTAAATTTCAGCAGACTGAATTTACTAAGTAAGAAATTCAGGATGTAAGCAGGCTAGGATGACCATGACCCAAGGTCATTCAAACCAATGAACACAGTTAAACAGTAAACATCGTAGTATTAGCATTGCAGCAAGAGCAAAAATGTCTGGCTACGTCACTGCTACATCACTGCTACGTACTTCCGTAAGGGTACCATACCTGTTCCATTGACCATACAGGGACCACAAGCATTCGCCAGCACAGTTCCTCCAAAGTCTCTTAACGTTTTGGCCTAATAGAACATGATGATAAACACGTGACTTTATATTTTCTAGAAATTTATTTTCTAAAGATGCACAAGCCGGAGACCACCAGTCCGCAAGTTAGAGATATCATGTAAACTTAAAACTCGTGAGCATTATTCATTTCTTTATGTCTCCATTGTTTTACAGTGGAGTGAAACCAAAATATTTACATAGCACGTCCAAACACGAGAGCTCGCTATGTTTTTACTAAAGACATTGCCCACAAAAACAACAGCAATTTAGGAAAGTAAAATCATACCACTTCATCACGTTCGATAGTCGCTCTAATCTGTTCAGAACCAGGTGTGACAGTAAATAATGATCTAAAGGATAAAGCATTTGAAAAGGTTGCTGAGATTTCAGTGGTTTTAATTCCTTTCTTTAATTGGTGGGATTGGACCATCACGGTTTTTAGAGTCTTTTAAAGTTGATAGCAGTGTACTGAAAAATAGACAACTGCTTCAAGAGCTGAGGGAGAAGGGGGAGGCCCAACGGTGGAGAGGGTTAAGACCAGGAACAAATTTTAAAAGTTTATATGTTTGGTTGATTGTTCAATCAAATAGTGAAGCGGACCTTTACTAAATGAATTAAATTAATCAAACGTAAAGAAGAAAATACCAAACGTAAATCCATTTACTTATTTGCATTTAACGTATTTTGATAGCAAGTCAAAATAATGAAATGAATGGTTTGAACCGGGAGTATCGTTAAATGTTTGTAAATAGATCGTTCAGGTTAGTATAGTCCTGAGAAGGACTGTTGTTGTTGTTGACTGAAGTTTCTGCATCCTAAGAGGTCATCTTCAGAGTCAAACTAAAATTTACTCCCCACTTGACTTTGAAGACGACTACCTCTAAATGTGTCGAAACATCAGTCGATACAGAACATCAACAGTCCTTTCTCAGGACTGCACCAACCTGAACGATCTATATCTACAAACATGTACCGTCAAAATAATGCTATTTATGTTAACCTACTTGGCTCGAATACCGCGATCCAACGCCTGTTGAGCAATACTTGCTGATCGCGTCATATCCTCGTAGCTACTGTTTGTACAGCTACCGATTAACGCTGAAATATTCGGGAAAGAAGTTCATAGTGAAATGACAACAACCAACATCAAAATGATTTCCCACTCTATAACCACAGAATAGACATCTAACAACGTGCTTACCAACTTTGACATCCAGGCCAACCGTTCGTTTCGGCAACCTTCCCAAGTTTGGAAATAAAAGTCAGGTGTGAAGGACCATTAACGTGAGGTTCAAGCTGCAATATCCAAAGATATACAGAATATTTTCACCGCGGTAGCGTTACACACAAGACCCCCTTCCACCATACAGACTATAAATAATGCTAGAGATGGAATTGATGACGAAATTGTGCGACGAGGAGTTGGGAGTTAGCCAATGTTATCCAGTGGAGAATTACTAATTACGGGGGCCTGTACACTGGGACTCTAGGCTACGAAAAAGTTGTTGGACCTAAAGTCGGATATCTATTCTTCCCACTAAGTTCAGTCTCTTTGATGACATTTGCGTTTCTTACGCTCCTTTGCCTTTACACTTCCCAGCTTGTTTTTGTAAATCATAGTATGAACATTAAGGAATAAATTTAAAGTTCAAACTGGGAAAACCCACTACTTCATGATATCTGATTAATGTGCATTTGAACAGTAGATCGTACGGTTTTAACAGCATAAATGGTCTAAATTAAGAACATTTAACTGGTCATTATTCCAAAGCCAACATCAAAGACTATACGTAATATAAATCCTAACACGGTTTTTAAACACGGTTTTGACTTGGTAGCTCAACAGGTAGAGCGGCAGACTAGCATCCCGAAGGTGCGAGTTCAAATCTCGTCCAAGTCACATGTTTCTCACGTGCGTATAAAACCGTGTTGGATTTATATACGTTTAACTGGAAAGGCAAAACTAAAACTAATTACGTCAAGACACAACGCGCTCAAAGCCTGGGCCTGTAGGCTTCATTTATTTTCACAAAGTAATCCGTCATTGATGCTACCTTTAGTATTATTTATAATCTCTATTTAACATCAACGCTCAGTAAAATGATATTTTGTCGTTTTAGTATCCAAATATGCATGATAATTAACGTGCAAACGGTACTACTGTTTGGCACAGAGTGAGGTATCCCACCTGTTTTGAAAAAAATGCATTATTTCAGGGCATGACAATTTTAATTATCTCGCAAGCGGAGCTGTTGAGCTAGTTATAAGGAAAAGTCAAACAAAGTCAATACTTCATATTAGAGCCTCTGTAATACTAATCGAGTTAGTGATCATACCTCGTCGAGATTGATCTCAATCAGTTCATCATACTCGCAACCATCGTCCGCTTGTAACACATGTATGTTACTTTGCGCCAGGCCACTAATCGCCTCGCGGCCGGTCGCTTTGAGATAGTCTGCCATTCGAGAGTTGAAAGGAAACACGGAAGTTGTTGCTCCAATCTCAGCACCCATGTTGCAAATTGTGCCCATTCCTAATAGAGGTGGCGAAATTTGTAAGACTTAGCACTTCAGCCACTGAAGAAAAAATATTTCCTAATTACCTGTACATGAAATAGAGTCGACACCAGGCCCATGGTACTCAACGATTGCGCCAGTTCCGCCTTTTACAGTAAGAATGTCTGCGACTTTGAGAATTACGTCTAAATTGTTCAAAGATAACAGTTATAGTAAATATAAACAGGATATCGTTTTTAAGGTAAATAGATAGACGGTTGGTAAATGTATGGATGGTTGGTAAATGTATGATGAATGGATGACATTCATGGTTGGTTAATAAATGGATGGATGGCTGGCAAAATAGCAGATTAATGTCAAAAAT